AGAATACAAGGAATAAGCCACCTGGTGATTATGCTCTGTTAGCAAGTCTAACTGCAGCTTCCCAGTTGCTCATTAGCAAAAGGATTAAGGACAACATTTGGACCAGAAGGCATTACTGTCACTGTTTGCTTTATAGGCCGCTTTTACAAGCAAGTCTAAGAAACTAACATTTGAGCCTCTTGCAGTATTGAAACACATTTTAGCACAAGAACTAAATTCAGGAGGTGGAGCTCCAATAACAGTTTGGGGCTTAAGAAAGGAGGGAAAGAAGTGTCTGTTTCTTTTTCAGGAACTGGAGGTGGTGGCTTGATCAGAAGAACATGGAGCAGGGGCACATTTGCAAAAAGCAAAGCATGCTACCAGTACGTGTAAATTAAGGAAAGAAACAATGGCATGCTCTCATTTATATTTTCTGGACTCCTCTTCCCTGCCCCAACCCATGCCTGACCTCTAATCATCTCTAGATGGTGAATGAGAACTTTACTACAATGGAAAAACATGTATGGGCATAATCACATTGCCTGATCAGGTGTGTCTATGAAAAGCATTAGCGTGCAGCAACACAAATTCAGTTTCCAGTCATGAGGTATTCCCACTAAGAAGTCTAAGCAAATCTCTTCACATTTTAGAGGCTTTTGGGCAGACTTCATATTCAATTTTAAGAGAATTTTTAAAATAAAATAAACACATGTAATTCATAGTGCCTCAGGTTGAATTTATAATAGAGACAACAATGCAAAGTTTAGTATAAGTTTTGCTTTATTATTTTCTATTACTACCTCCTTATCTTTGTTGATTATGCTTGTAACAAGCTACATACCCTCTTCAAATGATTGGTTCATGTAGCCCAGTATTCTCTTCTTTGATTGACAGTGTTAGTTTTGCCAGCCACATGTTGAACCTTGTCATTTCCAGTCAAATAGCTCTTGAGCAGTAAAAGAAAGACCATTTGCCTTAGATCTGCTCCCAGCCAGAGTAAAAACAACAACAACAACAACAACTGAGCTAGACAGAAAAATAGTCTAGTTACTAATAATGTTTTCACATGATACAATTATATCACCTTTGAGTTTTGCTGTATTTCTGAAAGAATATAACACCAACCTCAATTATGCATAGCCAGATAGATTTTCTTTTTTCCCCCACCTTAGTTCTACCACTGCAATTTTCTAGTGCAGATGCATCCTCATCCAGAGGGACTGGAGCTCAGAAGCTCTATGACAATATTATACTGTTATCAGCAACCAGTAGGGTACATCTCTGACCCTATATATGTTTACAGGCAAATAATCATGTTTCTATCAGATTTTTCAAACTAACTAGGAAAGGCTTTAAAAGCAAAGTAAGATAGGTGCCCATGAAGTCTATCAGCTACAAAATTAGAGCATGGCTGGCTCATAACTTTCTCCAAAAAATGCTCAACTCCATCTCTCCTTGGCACCTGCCAGGAATTCTGCTCCTCAGCTGGTGCCTGTTATGAGCAGATCTGGAGCCAAGCATTCACCACATCAGAAGGAATAACCAACAGATGAACCTGACAGCACCAATCCAAGATTCTGGGAAATGCTGCTGAACTCCAATTCCATGGACTCTGTGATGAATGAAGTTTCTCTCTTCAGCTCACCAGTTGCTTAAGTGAACAGCTGAAGTCTGCCATAGGGCAGCAGGAGAGCAAATGGGCACTCATTGTTTCTTAGATCTCAGAGCATTAGGCTGAATGCCACTCTGGAACTAACAGAAAAGAGTAGCAACATATGGAAAGTCTTGGAGGGATATGCTTGGTAAGCTCTATCCCTTTTAGTAGTCACACAGGTAAGGTGAGAAAGTAATTTTTGCAGAGATTTACAGTGAAGGCACCAATGTAGTACTACTGTTTAAAGGTCTCACCACAAGCCTGGCCAGTTAAGATAGGAAGTGGTTAGAAGACTGGTCCAATCTCCCATGAGAAGGGTGTATTTCAGTCTAGCTTGTTTAGACAGTTTGAAAGGCAACCTAAGGCTTTGCTATGCCTCTTTGAAATACTCTCCCAAACCACTGAAAATGTATCAGTTTCCACCACTGTTTAACAATGTAAATGGCTGTGGCAAGAATCACCTTTGCATGTATATATTCAGTACAAAACAAAACAAGACTTTAAACACTGAACCAATCCCTTGACACTAATAAGCAATTAAAAATGAAAACTAGCCCACACAAGTAGCATGAATATTACTTTCCTGCAATGGAACTGCTCTTGAATGCCAGTTTTTACCCAATGTGCCTTCAGGGTCAGTCCCAGTCATTAACTTTGCCACCCTCCATATAGTAACATAAAAATGATAACAAATAACTGAATATGTATTTGTTATAAGTAAAATGAGGCATGAAAGGTTGGAGGTGGACATTTGTACCACTTTACTCTCCTTAGAGAGCAAAATAAAACATAATGAAATAAAAAGTTATATCTTCATAATCTATTTTTAAACAAGCAGCAACCAATTTCTTTTTAAACTTGTGTCAAAGTCCCCTAAAATATATTCAAGTTCTCCCAGACAAAACCTGAAGTCCAACTATAATATACTTCATATATGTATGAGAGAAAGACCAGCATAAATTAAAGCTAGTGCTTTAGCAGCACTTAATCAGAATTTAACCAACAGTAATTTCCTGAATGTGTGTAGAATATTTATCAATACCACACGCAAAATACCCCCAGAATATGTATGTTTGTGAAATCAGTCACCAGGAAGAGTCACCCATAAAATCCTTTTAAATGAAAGAGACAATGCTGTGATGAATTGATTGTAGCTTTTGGGCATACCTTGGCCAAGAAAAGCATCATAAACCTTTCCTAAACCACAAGCAGAAAAAGGTAAAACAGAAGAAGTGTCAAAGGTTCATATCAAGTAGCTGGGTAAGATGATATTTTGAAACATTCATATTGGAATAAACATTGGGGGGATGACGACAAGAAATATTCTGTTGCTAGTGGACTTGCATTTCCTTGGAACAGAGCCAGAGAGACTTACACGGCAGGGAGCAGCTGGACACTCGATGTGCCAAGTAAAGGCTCTTTGCTAATCACTGTGTCTGACTGTCTGGACAGCATATTCAATAGCTGAATGTGTATGGCCTTCTCACTGTCTAGCTGCCTAAGAAGTCACGTCGTATTAAGATATCAGACTGCCTTACTATCCTGCCATCCCTGATCTGGGAGAAAAATACGCCACGAAAAGGAAAATAAAGAAACAAAAATGAAATCTGGTGTTAAAATCTAAAAGCATTTTCATCCTAGAACAAGACAGAGCTCACAGTCTGTCTGTACTTTCACAGGTTTTACCCACTGGCTCACATATCACCTGTCATTAAAGACTTTGACTGCAACTGTGCACACAAACTGTTTAAATCCCACTGACTTCAATGGGATTTAGGCAACTTAACTGAGGGGAGAATAGTAGCCTTTAATCATGGAGGGAGAAGAATTCCTTTCTAAGTAGTGATGTAATAAGGCATTGAAAAGGAATCATCCTACAAATTATGAGCCCTTAAAACCCATATTTTTGAATTAGATAAATGTAAACATAATTAATACATCAGCTTTATTCAGATTGCAAATATGCTTTTGTCACAGACATTTCAATTTGGACAAGTGCCAAGTCCTCCACCTAGGAAAAAGAAACCAAATGCACCGATACAAGATGGGGAATATGTGGCTCAGCAGAATTGAAAAAGAGAAAGATCTTGGAGTAATTGTGGACAATAGGCTAAACATGAGCCAACAACATGAAGCAGCCTCCAAAAGGCCAAATGCTCTTCTGGGATGCATCAACAGAAATATTACTTCAAAATCACAAAAAGTAGTAGTTTTATACTAGTTAATCCTCATATGGAATACTGTGTCCAGTTCTGGGCACCAAGATTTTTAAAAGATGCAGGTAAATTAGAAAGGGCCCAGAGGAGGGCAACAAAGATGATCCAGGGTTTGGAAATACTGCCCTATGAGGAGAGACTGAGAGAACTGGGCATGTTCAGCCTTGGGAAGAGAACACCTGTGGGGGAGGGGCACCTCTATAAGCACCTCAAAGGCTGCCACAAAGAGGAAGATCAAGATCTCTTCTTGCTGATGCCAGAGTGTAGGACACGGAATAATCAGTTCAAGTTGCAACAACCCACATTCAGGCTGGGCATCAGGAAAAGCTTCCCCACTGTCAGAGCAATACTACAGTGGAACCAGCTGCCTAGAGAGGTGGTGACTCTAGAGACATTCAAAAAGAAACTGGACAGCCATCTGAGTGGGATGGTGCAACTTGGTGTCCTGCAACAGCAGGGGGTTGGACCCGATGGTCTTCATGGCTCCTTCCAACTCTATCATTATGTGTTTCTATGATTTTTATTTGCCAGTTATTAAAGTAATAGAAAAATACTCTAGTAATTCAATAGCTAAAAAAAGAACTCTTAAAAGCTCAGCAAAAGTTCTCTTTAGACACAAAAGCAAAACAATGTCATCTAAAGAACTCATAAACAACCCTAAGTGGGGTTTGCATCATCTAGAAAAATCCCATGGCCCACAACTTTGATTCGGTGCCTAATAGTTTGCTGCAAAATGCATTTGTACATATGGCAGAAAGGCATATTATGCTGCCATTTTATGACTGTTTGCTCCCTTTCTCTTCCAAGTGATTCTGAGAGAAGGAGTTGTTTAAAAATACATGGAAGTTCAAGAAGATTCCAACAAGATTTCCTGACCCAGGAATACTTATCCAAGCAATGGAAAGCGGACAAAGCTTCTATTGCCTGGATAGGCACATTGGGTGGAGAAGAAAATTTTGGTCCAAGTTTCTTCCTAGTTTATGTGTAGCTTCTTGTCATCTTCTTGTCCTCCACATCTGTGCTGCAGCAGAATTATGGCCTTTAATCTATTTAACTGAGATATTTTACCCTATCTCTTATCCTTCCACTTCTTAACACTAGTGTTTTGCAAAAGGAAGCAACAGCTTTTGCATTTAACTGGAGTTACCTACCTATCTGGTTGCTTCTGAACAGTTGGTTGCTGTCTTCCATTTCGTGGGCCTTCTCTCGCTGCATTGCCCATTCTTTTCAGAAGGGAGCTTGCTGGGGGCTGTAGACCTGCTGCAAAGCTAGGAGGATGATACTCTTGTTCTGGAACCACCTCTTCACATCTGGAGCCTCTGAAGCCTGAACGACAAATGCAAAGCTGGGGACGACTGCAGGATCCTTTGTTCTGGCATGGAGGATCACATACAGCTGAAAAGACAAGAAAAAAGAGTGAGCAGAGACAGACTGCACATATTGTGACAAGCTATGTGCTTCCTGGATGGATCTATTTATCCATCACCCCTGCTGAAATGAGATATGGTGGTATATGGAGGTGTTATGCAAAAAGCTGCAAAAATACTTCTCCTCAAGTTAAATAACCAAGACTGCCATCAGAGTGAGGTGATGCCTTCATTTATTGCAATAGACAGGAAGAGCCCGCTCTGTCAGAATCTCTCCAAAGTACAAACACACAAAACATCCTCTTTTAACCCTCAATCCGTCCACCACAGTCCTCCCACTTTCCCTCACTGGGTAAGGTACTAGGAGGTTACAGTCCTTCTATCCGCCTACTTCATATCTCCCATCTCATCCCACTACATACATCTACATACATCACATGTGCATTATAATTAATCCATTGTCTATTCGAGGTGTGTGAGTTAATATTCATCAACCTATTACGCCTGCTTATTCGTAACTACAAGTTCACTAGTTCACTTTTTTCTGGCTTCACCTTGCCCTATGAACCCCTGTCCCATAAAACTACTGGAAGTATGAGATAGAAGGTAGCCTTCTCTCTTCAACCCTTCTTCTTCTTCAACTCTTCTTCTCTCTTCAATCTTTTCCTCCTTTCCACATTCCTCCTGCTAACCACTCCATGACTCAGTTAATGGCTACTCTGTTTCTCAGTCACTGTGTTACTTTCTTCAGAGGTATAAAATTAAAGCAGTGCTACTTCAATCATCAGTCTTACCCCTTTCATCCATACTTCACATTGACTGCCCAACTTTATTTTTTAATTGGTACACAAACATTTATGTATTCATGTACGTTGTCATCTTTTAAAACAAAAACAGAACAAGAACAACTTTACAAACCAGGGATCCAAGGAACAAATGGGCTTATAACTTCCCACAGATACATGGTTGGCCGCTCTGGGGACAGAATGCAGGACTAGATAGCCCATGCTCTGATCAAACACAGTTCTTCTATATTCCTGTGTCACCACAGTTTTCAATAGATCAGCACTGTGCACAATTTACTGGTGTGGCAAACTCACAGAGCTCATTTTTCATAAATGTAGCCCTAAGGAAAACATGACTCATTAGCATAATGTGTGATGAGTGCACTTCCAAGCTCAGGTATAATTTGAAGGCAGTTTGGTTAGGCCAATTCCCAGTTTAAGAAGAGCTCCTTAAGTTCCAGTGTTGGACTTCAGCAGTGCATTCTTCAAATTTTACTAGAAGTGCTAGAAGAGGGACATATTTGTGTCCCTCCTCCTCATTCATATTATGGACTTTGCCTCACCACTGAACTTGATAGCATAGCAGTATTTGCTATAAAACAAACTAAATTAGACATTTTTACCACTCGATAGTGGTTTACCACAAAATCTGGCAACCATCTGCCAGGAAGGATGGTTGCCAGCATAGCCAAATTCAGACCTCTGAAGTTACCCACTAAAACTTGCCAAAGCATAACTATGCTACAAGTCAAAGATCCCTTATAGAGAGGTCATTGCACAAGATAAACATGAAATTAAAATATGTAAGAAGTCATTTTGAGAAAGCAGACAATATATTTTTGCTGGTTTTTGAAAGACATATTCTTTCATCCATGCTGAATTTGATGATTAAATTATTTGTTACTTTGCATAGACTGGTCCTGAGGTACAGTTTTTGAATCTGAAATTCCTGTGCTTCCTCCACCGGCTAATTTGAAAGTCAGCACACTCAAATTCTTCTGCAAATATTGGAAGCTACAGTTCATTAACTTTGCACCCAAATCACACCATAGTGTGTCTATGTGCCCAATTACAGCACATCAGCTTCAGCTGTAAATTCTAAGAAGAAAAGTACCACTAATTATAACCCACTGGGGCCCTCATGCTTCCAAAACCATCAAGAGTCAATTCTGTTTTATAATCCAGTCAGGTAACCAACAAACTATGTTTTTAATTCATAAGCAGCTTCCTTCCTGGTGTTGTGGAGTTGTTGCTTGCTCATTTGCAGCAGTGGCTTGTGAGTGGGTGTGGCATGAAAAGGACCCACTGCATATTAAAAGTCACAGGTGGAGAGGTGCACACCATTCAAGTGTGCTAAAGTACTTCTGGCACAGGCAGGAGCCACTGACAGTCGTTAGTCCCACTGGGCATGCTTTGCTGGTCAGCCTGGTCACGCTTCATGGGGGCCAATGCCATCATTGCCTTGTCACACCTACCAGTAATGATGTTGGGACTTTTTTCCTAGGTTATGCTTAATGACCACAGTTTCTTCCTCTTTGAAAGGCACTGCTTGTTCTGTGGCTTAGCAACAAGAATTTTCACAGCATTCTGGATGAGAAAGTGGCTTGAAGACTTAACATTTTGTGGCACTTTTAAAGACTAACAGGTTAATTATAGCATAACCATGGCTACAGTTGATCTGATAGCATATAAGATGCTACAAAGTACTTTGCTTGTGCACATCAGCTGAACCTGACTTACACAATTGCTGCTATGGAATTTGTCCCCAGAGAAAATTCAGGCGCTATGTTCTGTGAAATTATTTAGCAATAATTTGAACTTACTGGGAAGAAGCAATTTAGAAGCTGTTGATTTTTTTAAGTGTTCTAGCGGAAGAAAGTATTAGAAGACATCTCCCCCACCCAGCAGAAGAAAATCTCTGAAGCAGATGCAATTATGACTCCTCTCAAGTAAAGAACTGTCTTCTGAATCATTTGAAGCCCCATTTTATTGGGTTGTTATTTAAACCTAAAGGGTGGCAAGGACTGAATGAGAAGCTCAGATTTACAGCTGATGGATAAATAATTTTACACCTGGGGCCTATTTAGTCACTATTGTTCTTTTGGGATTTTTAAAATTAATTTAGGAGTATATCTTGGGCTCATACCTACACTTCCTTGTAGAGAGGGACACTGGATTCAAGGTCTCAGTGTGAAGGGTATAAGACTGAGAGACATTCCTGATCCTGTGCCAGTATCCTGAAGACTAAGTAAGCCCTGAACCAGTGCATAGTTGTCTGTAACAGTCCAGAGCTGTTCTTTAACAAAATCAGGTCAGGCCCAGTTCAACGTTTTAAAAGCTTTCAGTTTAAACAATATATTACAGAGTGTAATAGCTCATAAGCTTTTCTTACAGCCTAAATAAATACACAGCCACATACTCATGGATTGTGCTAACATTTATAGTATTTATGGATCAGACTGCAACTTATTTCCTAATATCATACCATGTGAACTTAGATGCTGGATTAATTTAGGATACTTGATAGTAGTTGTCATCATGTACTTAAACCTCACTTCTAGGACTTCATGAGACCACACATAGAAATATTTCTCTGATTCTTGCCTCTCCTGTTCATATGCACTAGACTAGAGGGACTTTCCCTATGACACCCATGTGAGCGGGGGAGGGGGGCAGAGGGAGAATCAATTTAGCATAACTCCTCCTTTCTCATCCCTCTCACTTGTTCACACACACCAGGCGCTTCCCTCTGCAGTGTGTGAAGGGGCAAAAGGAGAATCTGCTGAGGCTTGCTGTCCCCAGGTGGGCACTGCTACCACTGAGATTCTCACCCCTGCCTGAGGGACTTCCTTCATGTGGAAGGCGGCACAGCTCCTTTCCACAGCACTGCCCAGCTGAACTTCTCCCCCCAGCCCACTGTGCTTTTGCCTGAGCATGGAGCAGGCAGCCCCCCTGCTGGAGAGGTCCCCTCTGAGTGCCTGATCAGCTTCTTGTCCTCTCTGTTGCATTTCAGACTGCTTGACGGCTGCAGCAAACCAAACTCAGCTCATGATCGTGGCTGTTAAAGTGAGGAGCCCCATTCCCCTCCACAGTGTCTCCTGGGATATTGCTTTGAGGACTGAGAGAGGAAAGGGTGCTGGAAGGAAGGAGAATTAGCACAGTGCAAAAAAAATAAAAAAATAAAAAAGAAGTGTGGAAACCGCACAGGTGTGCTTGCTGTGACATGTGAACTCAGCCATTGTAAGGGCCACTTCACACTTTATAAGACAATCCTGGGTCTACTGCAATATCTAAGGTAGATACATGTTCATGTAACTACATGTGTACAATGAAGGGAAAAGGAACTGCCTCTGGCTTCCTATTGTTAGTGTGTGTGTGTTGTACAGTTAGTTAAATAAGTTAACTTCACCTGAATGTTTTAGATTACTCACATGTGGCTCTGAAATCACCTTAGGATAGCAGGAGGAGAAAGATATGTTCTTACTTTCTATCTATATTGTTTAGCTTTGCCAACTCATTCTGATGATCATACTAGCAAGCAACAATTTACCTAGACTCTAGGTATTTGGGAAAATTGAAAGTGCATGGTATCCCCTTTATTCAGGCTTCCTTTTAAAGTGAAGATTTGGGCAGAGCTACTCAGAGTTGGTACCAGAGCTAGTCTGGTTTAGTTTTGCATACCCACATGCAAATATCTATCAACTTTCAAAACCCCTGTTTTAAAAGGAAGTCTGAACTTTGACAGCTCTGAAAGCTTATGCTCCTGAAAATATGGCAGCTCATGCCTTTTCAAATCCTTAAGCACCTGGAATCTTAAGAAAGGGTGGAAAGTGTAAGGACAGAGTCAGGTCCAACCAAAATAAAAATGCAAACTAGAGGCAGTAACCAAGTTTCATGAGCAAACATTGCCTGTGCGTTTACTTTCTTTTGGCAGCTTACATTTTGAGAGCTGTCAAAGAGAGAGCGGTGTAAAAAAAGGAGATGTGCATAGTTGATGCCTGCTGCTCTTTGACAGGATGTTACCTAGGGAAGGCTTCCCCTTTTGTACCTCTGCTCTTGCACAAACCTGACTATATTTTTTTAAAAAGCTATGAAAAAAGTGCATATTTCTTGCACTTAAAATTCTTTTAAAAGGGAGTGGCAAAGCAATGACAGCCCCTCTTATAAGCTACTTGGCCATTTTGGAAGGGCTGTCACTGACTATCAAACTAGGAGACTGCAAAAGCTGCAGTGGGAAAAAAGT